ATCTTCATTGTTGTTTTATGACCCTGAAGGGTTTGGAGAACCTTTTGTTTATATCACCGGGGTTTGAGGTTCACATTCTGATACATTGATTGAAGTTTTAGAGACTGATACTGCAAATGCTCGACCACTTGTGAAAGTGGTCAGTAAGGTCAGCAAATTGACTGTAATGATGGAGGCCTTCAGTGAGGCCGTCGAATGGTTTATTTTAATGGGGAAGTAAGCAAAAATGGGAAAACAGGTTGAGGAGTTATGCAGTAATGCATAGGTTTTCAAAGGTGATGACTCATCATGACAGAGCAAACAGGCTGAAGGTAAAAGGAGAAGAAATTGACTGTGAGGGTGAGAATGTGAGGTAACATTTTGTGTATACTCGGAATGAGCAGATTGCTTCGAGGTTAGAATGAACAAAGAGAACTGGGTTGGTCAATTAGTTGATGAAGACATGGAACAGTCATACACCATGAGGGTGAGACCTACAAGGAAAAACTCAAAGAGATCATTGAACGGGGACGCGAAGGCAATATTGGTGTTAATTTTTCATGAGTTGACTATGGGGGTCAATAATCAGTTATGTCGAAGATTCCAAATTTCTATAAATAAATGGCTCCTCAAATCGGTTGGAAACAAGGCCGTTTGAGAAAGGCAATTTTCCAAAACAATGTGTAAATACTCTAGGAGCAGATAAAGATATGCAGAGGCATTCTTTACGTCAACGCATCACATTCTTCATTCAGCTGAGGCTCTAATTCAAAAGCGATTTGCAGGAAGTGAATTTGAACAAGAGGGAACAGAACCAAAACAGCAAGAACAAAGAAGGGATTTCTCCTTCTGAGAAAGCAACATTTGTGAGTGTCATCCAGGTGCTAATTCTTCAGTTGTAGTAGTAGGTAGGTATGTGTGTTTGTTATGTTCATTAGGGAACTCCTTCCACCATCAGGTGAACATCAGGAGTCAGGACAAATGATGACTTTGTTGGGAGTTTAGCTCCCAGTAAAAGAAACAACAGGCAGATGCTGAGATGGGAGTGAATTAGGGACGAGGATAGATTTCAAAGGGGATGCAGAGGTTGAAAGGGGATGGCGACTCATGGTCGAGGAGGGAGTGAGCAGACCTCCCTAAACCAACGACTGATAAGAGGAGGAATCCTGGGGAAGTGTCGGAGCCATAAAATCCATCTACAGGTTATGGGTGATTCAGTAGTGATGCTGAGCCTGTACCCAGAGTTCCCTCAGGCTGTGATGTCTTCAGTGGCTTCATCTGGAGAGTTTGTCTTCTTATTGGATCGATCTGGCAGTATGCTTGCAGAGTGTATAAAGAATGCCAGGGTACTAATCATGTCTTATTCCTCTCATGAACACATTTATAGTGTCTGTCTCTCACAAAGTGACCTTCACCTTATTCTCCTCCCTTAAGGACACTCTGCTGCTCCTGTTGAAGAGCCTGCCGCTCGGCTGCTATTTCAACATCTACAGTTTCGGGTCCAGCTTTGAATACATCTTCCCGTGAGTCACTTAGTCCAACAAAAGTATGATTTATGACCAGTGGTGGCTTGTGGATTTTCTTTTTTTTGGTAATGACAGACAATCAGTTTCAGCAAACATCCCAGAATGATTCAATACTACATTCTATTCAGAATATAACTACCATAATCGTAACTATTATAAATATCATATAATAAATATATTATATTTAAGGATAAATGTATTTATATCGAATCCTAAACCTTGTGTGTTGGGAAAACACCCGATCATTGTGTTGAGGAAAGACCAACTCCAAAGCCCCAAAAAACGTCACACAATGAATTATTTTGGATAAAATGTCCCTGTTTTCACCCATGTCCTGGTTGTGTGTCCTCGCCGCCGTCCTGTGTGCGTCGCAGCTGCGTAGCGATGTTAACTTTAATAAGGCAACGTTGTGCGCGAATATATGGCGTTAGCATGTAGGTAACTAGCTAGTTAAACATCCCGGTGTAGCATCTCTACAGAAGCTTCATATCCGCGGCTTCCCTTTCACGCCGGTCCGTTGTCTGATTGTGAGGTCAGGCTGATCTGGGTCCAGCTGTTTTACCTCTACTTTCTCCGGCAAAGTTCAAAGTTCAGAGTTTGGGTCTTCTTGGAAGGACACTGCCGGTGGTCGCTCTTGTTATGTTGTTAGACGGCGTCGGAGACTCGCCCTGATGAGAGCGTAGCGTAGGGCGGCGTAGGGCGGCGAAGGGCGAGCCCAAATCTCAATGCATTTTAGGACGCTGAAATTATAATGTCACTCATAAACTTTATCAGTGATTGGCTTACTGCTTTTAGACCCTCCGCCTTTGGGACACGGCTTGAGCCCAGCGGAGACAGGAAAAGCATACATTTATACAGATATCTTAATTTATAAATATGATTCAAGTATATAATCCACATTTCAAAATCACAAAAATACAAATATTGACTATTTGTAAATTGTATTTTCATAATAATAAACAACAAAAAAAAAAAAAAAAAAAATCCTTTTTTTTCTCCGTTGCTCACGGTGGGGCCACGCCCGCTGTCCTCTGGACCAGCCGCCACTGTTTATAACTATTTTATAATACGGGTAGATGAAATCCAGCGTTCTGATTGGTCTACAGCAGGGGTCTCAAACTCGTGGCCCGCGGGCCAATTGCGGCCCTCGGGACGATATTTTGTGGCCCCATCCTTAATATGAAAGTGTAATGTTAGTGCGGCCCGCAAGTTTTATACTGTAACCCCACTGTCAGCTGCTGTGTGGGACATGTTATGATGTTCTGGTTTCCTATTGTGTGCTTGTCCAGTGAACGTGGCATGCATGTGACTGACATGGGGAGCGGGTCGTGTGTGTCGGCCGAGGTGCAGAGAGCAGGAGGGTGAAATTCAGTTTCCTGCCCTCTTTCGCGCAGGTGATCATGTGACTAACCGTTAGCATCGCTCGTTTAAGAAAGTTTTCCTTTACGACTCACACTAACAACACATGAAGCATCTGACGTCACCGACGAGCGTCTCCGTCCATTACTACGCAGCTTCGATTCACGTAACTACACGTTTGGCTATAAAGGAATTCCACGGTCACATGACCTTAGGTCTCCCCCGCTGAGTTAAAGGAGGACTAGTGTTGTAGTCTCATTCGGACCGATCCCCCAGGGTGGGGTTCAATGACTGCTTTTGAAAGTGAGTGTTAAGTTGTGTTATTGTCAACCATGCCGTTCGGACGCTAGTCTGGCCCGCGTTCAGTTGAAGTGGGCTGCATCTGGCCCGCAGCTGATTTGAGTTTGAGACCCCTGGTCTACAGTGAGTCACGGGGGGTTCATTATTGGGCGATAATGTACAGTTGCTCTTCACATTGACCTGCGCGTTCCATTTCACTGCACACTCAAAGTAACAGGTTAGATTTTTGGTTAGATTTTCATTTAGCTAATGCTTTTATCCAAAGCGACTTACAATAAGTGCATTCAACCACAAGGGTACAAACTCAGAAGAACAAGAAACAAGAAAGTGCAATTTCCTCAAATAAGCCAATTTTACAATTTGCTATAGATGAGTGACGTTACAAGTACAATTTAAGTGCTACAATTTGTTAGTCTTTTAGTCGAGGTAGAGTCTGAAGAGGTGTGTCTTTAGTTTGCGGCGGAAGATGTGAAGGCTCTCTGCGGTCCTGATGTCTTCAGAGAGCTCGTTCCACCATTTCGGAGCAAGGACAGCAAAGAGTCGTGATCTAGTCGAGTGTTTTCCTCTCAGTGAGAGAGGAACGAGCAGTTTAGCAGATGCAGAGCAGAGAGTGCGGGTCGGGATGTAGGGTTTCACCATGTCCTCGATGTAAGCTGGACCCGATCCATTCACAGCATGGTAGGTGAGCACCAATGTTTTGAACTGGATGCGGGCAGCCACCGGTAGCCAGTGAAGAGAGCGGAGGAGTGGAGTAGTGTGGGAGAATTTCGGAAGGTTAAAGACCAGTCGAGCTGCTGCATTCTGGATGAGCTGCAGAGGTGGAATGGCGGTAGCAGGGAGACCTGCCAGGAGCGAGTTGCAGTAGTCCAGGCGTGAGATGACAAGAGCCTGAATCAGTACCTGGGCAGCCTTCTGAGTGAGAAGAGGATGTATTCTCCTGATGTTGTAGAGCGTGTATCTACAGGATCCTGTCGTCGATGTTGGGAGTCAGGGAGAGTTGGCTGTCGAGTGTCACGCCGAGGTTCCTAGCGGTTAAAGTGGTTCAGTCTTGTCGGGGTGGATTTTCGGTGGTGGGCGGACATCCACTGAGAGATGTCAGTCAGACAGGCAGAGATCCGTGCCGCCACCTGGGTGTCCGAGGGAGGGAAGGAGAGAATTAGTTGTGTGTCATCGGCATAGCTGAGCTAGGAGAAGCCATGCGAGCGAATGACAGCTCCGAGAGAGTTGGTGTAGAGCGAGAAGAGGAGGGGACCCAGGACGGAACCCTGAGGAACTCCCGTAGTAAGAGGACAAGGTTCCGACACAGATCCTCTCCAGGCTACCCAGTAGGTGCGGCCGTCGAGGTAGGACGAGAGAAGGGAGAGAGCAGAGCCTGAGACACCAAGTTCCTGAAGAGAGGAAATAAGGATCTGGTTGTTGACTGTGTCAAATGCAGCAGAGAGGTCCAGAAGGATGAGGACAGAGGAGAGAGAGGCGGCTCACTGTCTGGTGTCTACAACTATTTTGTGCTGAAAGGCAGCTATTTACGTACTATTTCTAATTTTGCTGAGAACTGTATTATAAAAGCAACAAGGTACTTGAGGCAGTACTTTAGCTGCTTATTTAGCTACCTTATTGCTTAAATCACCACGGTGTAACCACTGACTATTGTTAATGTCAAAGTTTTGAAATGTCCTCCCCCAATAATTGATAATGAATTAATCCTATAATGAAGGCATGCTTATGTTTAAGGGTTGTAGATCATCTGTATGCTGTAAAGTTTGTGTGTTTCTGGCTGCAGTAAGAGTGAAGAGTACAACCAGAAGACCATAGAAGAGGCTCTGAAGAAAGTGGAAAAGATGGAGGCTAATCTGGGAGGAACTGAGATCCTTGAGCCACTTAAACACATTTACAGACAGCCCTCCATTCCCAGTCAACCTCGACAAGTAACACACACACACACACACACACACACACACACACACACACACACACACACACTTGTTGAAAAGGTTGTAAAAGTATCTTTGTAGATCATCAGAGAATCATCCGGTTTAGCCAGAACCTGCTACGGTTTTTTTTTTAACACATTCATTCTTGCTGCACCTTGTTCTTAATTTACCATAGAAAACCACTTAAACACATTTACAGGCCGCCCTCCATTCCCAATAGACCTCGACAAGTGACACAAACACACACACTAAAACAGCAATGAAACACGTCTCTTTGAGAAATGTGTTTGGATGACTCAACGCATGCTGTGTGTTTTTCCCATTGTTGCTGTGTGAACTCTCCTCATCAGCTATTTGTCTTTACTGACGGAGAGGTGGAGAACACAAAAGAAGTCATAAATCTGGTGAAGCAGAATTCAGCCTCCCACAGGTTAAAGAACAAAAAAATCAACACAATTGCTAAAATAAGTCCCATGTTTAGGTGCTGGGTGTGTAAAAACCAGCCCACTGTGTTGTAGGTGTTTCTCCTTTGGGATCGGGGAAGGGGCCAGTTCTGCTCTCATCAACGGGTTGGCCAAAGAAGGAGGAGGCCACGCTCAGTTCATCACAGGGGCCGACAGGATGCAGCCCAAAGTAACACACCGCTGCCTTCATGTCAATGGAAAATCAAATCACCACCATAACATGATTACTTAAATGGTTCTTACTCACCAGGTGATGCAGTCGCTGCGGTTCGCTCTGCAACCGGCCATGGTGGACGTCTCAGTCAAGTGGGATCTGCCAAGCGGAGTCTCTGTCACCGCTCTCTCTCCACCGATCGCAGCACTTTTCCAGGGTCAAAGGTCACTGGTTTACGCCCAGTTCACTGGACAGGTAGGAGCGCCACCATCTGAGGCAAGGCAAGGCAATTTTATTTGTATAGCGCTTTTTATACACAAGGCAGACTCAAAGTGCTTCACATCATAACATTTCATACAATAAAGTGAAATAAAATGCAGGAATTAAAAGACAATTAAAAACAGCAAATAAAATTATAAATTAAAATCTTATTTAAATTATTTAATTAAAGGCAGAGTTTAAAAGTGCAATGTAGGTAAAATTTAGCAGAAGGCGAAGCTGAACATAAAAGTTTTCAGTCTTGTTTTAAACGTGGTCAGAGTTGGGGCAAGTCTTAAATCTTCAGGAAGTTTATTCCAGCTGTTTGTTGCGTAGTAACTAAATGATGCTTTCCCGTGATTTGTATTTACTCTGGGAATCACTAACAGATTGGTGTCAGAAGATCTTAGTGATCTTGAAGGCTTATGTAGTGGAAGCATATCAGTGATGTACTTTGGCCCTAAACCATGTAGTGATTTATATGTGAGCAGTGATTTTGAAATTAATTCTCTGACATACTGGGAGCAAATGTAAGGATTTAAGAATTGGTGTAATGTGCTCACATTTTTTGGTCTTTGTTAGAACTCTAGCAGCAGCGTTCTGAACAAGCTGGAGCTGCCTGACAGTTTTTTTTGGAAGACCTGCAAGGAGACCATTACAATAGTCTAGCCTACTAGTTATAAAGGCATGTGCAAGTCTTTCTAAGTCTTGAGCTGACATGAGCCCTCTAAGTCGTGCTACATTTTTGAGGTGGTAGTAGGCCGATTTTGTTACTGATTTGATGTGACTCTCCAAGTGTAAATCTGAATCCATAATAACCCCCAGATTTCTGGCTTTATTTGATGTTTTCAGGGACAGAGAGTGAAGGTGTTGGGTTACTTTAAACCTTTCTTTTTTAGCACCAAATACAATGATCTCAGTTTTGTCTTCATTTAGTTGTAGGAAAGTTTGACACATCCAGTCTTTGATTTGCTCAATGCACTGGCACAGAAGATCTATGGGGCGATAGTTGTTTGGTGATAGCGCTACATAGATTTGGGTGTCATCAGCGTAGCAATGGTGGTCAATCTTTTTGCATGATTTGTCCTAGTGGGAGCATGTAGATGTTGAATAAAGTCGGCCCTAAGATCGAACCTTGGGGGACTCCACACATTACGTCGGTTGTTTCTGATACGAAGTCACCAATGGAAACAAAATAGTTCCTGTCTTGTACATATGACCTGAACCAGCTTAAGACTGTGCCCCACCCAGTTTTCCAACCTGTCCAAAAGTATTGAGTGGTCGACAGTATCGAATACAGCACTGAGGTCTAATAGCATTAATATTGAAGTTTTGCCAGAGTCTGTGTTAAGACGGATGTCATTTACAACTTTAATAAGGGCCGTCTCGGTTCTATGAAGAGGTCGAAATCCTGACTGGAAATTGTCGTGGCAGCCAGTTGAAGCCAGGAAGTGATTAAGTTGTTGTAGGACAACTTTCTCAATTATTTTACTTATGAAAGGTAGATTTGAAATTGGTCTGTAGTTGTTGATAATAGAGGCATCTAGGCTCCGCTTTTTTCGGAGAGGTTTAATAACTGCAGTTTTGAAAGCTTTTGGAAAATGGCCTGTCTGAATAGAGTTATTAACTATTTGCAATACGTCTGTTGCTAGGCAGTCAAAAACATTCTTAAAGAAGTTGGTAGGTAGAGCATCAAGACAGCAGGTGGAGGGTTTTAAATTTGTCACCGTTTCCACTAGAGTTTGAGAGTCTATGGCAGTAAAGCTTGTCATTATTGCTGTGTTACTTTTGCCTAAATAGGGTGGTGATCCAACATTTTTGTTTGAGATATTAATGGCGCGTCTGATGCCTTCAATTATATCAGCATAAAAGAACGCAAACTCATTGCATTTCTGTGTGGAATGGAGTTCAGGTGGTATTTGTGTTGGGGGGTTGGTCAGTCTGTCAACAGTTTCAAATAGGGTTTTTGCCTTATTAGTGTTGTTTTTAATGATGTTGGAGAAAAATGTTTCCCTAGCACTTTTTAAGTCTAAATTGTAGGCCCGGAGGCGCACTTTATAGATGTCATGGTGAATGTGAAGTTTTGTATTCCGCCAGATTCGTTCAGCCTTCCTGCACTCTCTTCTTTGGGCTGTTGCAACAGCAGCTTTTCTCCAGGGTGCCTTTTGCTTAATAGAACTGGTTTTAACCGTAACAGGTGCAATGTCATCTATAACATTCAAAATTTTGGAATTAAAGTTGTTTACAAGATTATCAGCATGACATGGGATTAGAGGTGGTAACGAGGAGATAACATTTTTAAAGAGTACATTAGTATGTTCATTGATGTACCATTTTTTGACAGTATTTGATTTTGATTGTGTGTCAGGAATGAAAGAAATATTAAAGAAAACACAGAAGTGGTCAGACAATGAGGGATCAGTGGAACTACTGGAACTACTCTCTCGTTTGATTTGTCAGGTCAGCGATGATGGAAGAAATGGTTTGTGACACTGATGTTTCCTCAGAGTTCGGAGGCGTCAGAGGGCTGTGTGACGGTGGCGTACAGCCTGGCAGGTCATCCCTCTCAGACCCAGCTCCACTTCAGTCTCAAACCTGCAGAGGACTCTGGGTAAAGCAGCACAATTATGCATTGGGTCCTGTCCTTAGAAATGTTGAGTTCATTTTCATTATTGAGTTCAAATCAAAGGACCATGGAAGGAGGAGCTCTTTGACTTTAGCGAGGAGTGAGAACCAAGGAACTGTCCGTTAAGAGAGTATTGCACTGATGCATTAAAGGTCTGCTCAGTGGCTGACGCACACAATGTGCAGAGCGGCCTCGAATGTAATCATTTAGTCAAGAATCCCTGTAGAATCTCTTTGTTCTTTTCACTCCTGGACGTACATGAACCCTAAAAGAAATAATTAGTATGTGTATTATAATTTTGTAAATCTGTGTTTTGTCTCTGCAGACTAACGGTCCACAGGTTGGCCGCTCGGACCGTGATCCGCTCTCTGGAGATGGAGGTGGGAGAGCCTGGAGGACAGGAAGACGACGCAGGAGGGCAGAAGAAGGTGGTGGAGCTCAGCGTCCAATCAGGAGTGAGCAGTGTCTTCACCGCCTTCATTGCCGTCAACAAATCCAACAGCGAAGCTATTCAAGGACCTCTGCTGTGCAGAACGATTCCAACATCCTGTGAGTCATTTCTATAGAAATATACCAGAAATACAGCTGACCATGAATGAAAATGTATGTAGACAATGTTTGTTTAGTTATTGTCTCGGCTCAAATCTCAACATCAATTTATTTTTAGGTAATCTCAGAGGGATGGCGCCCTGTTCGATGAGAAGTAAGTAAAACCTGTCCTAATGTGAGTAAACCTCAACAAATCTGAATTGTAGAGAAAAGCATACTTGTGTTTTTCTACACACTTTTGAGATATTTTAAACTATTTGAACTTCTTGTTCAAATCCAGTAGTTATGTCTATATTTTTGGTTTGGTCCTTAGCATGGCTCATGTCTTCACCTCACGCTGTGTTTTTAAGATCTCAAAGTGCCTGTGATGTCTTGTGATATGGCGCAGCTTCCTCAGATGTCTCTTAGTAAGTGTATTTCTATAAATAGACTAAATGGATGTAAACAAAACTGCATCGTCTTAAATGTTTAATCCGGCAGATTACTTATGTTACCCTTGTAACGTCCTGACCACTTTCTCTTAATCTTTTTAACCTCAGAGAGTAATATAAATATTAATTAATAATGTTAATGAGATGAGAGTGTCATCTCTTTTAAGGCAATAGTAATGGAGGTGGCGGCTCAAAGTTACTCTGTGAGGGAAGAATAAAGTCACCTGCCTCGTGATGACACTGTCTGGTTGGCTCAAGGAAAAGTGCTGGCTGTAAATACTATTTTCCTGGACCACATCATACTGGTGTCACAATAACAGGGTTTACTGGGTGATAAATATAAACAATCACTTTCAGGGAATTTTGTTATTAAACCAAAAATGGCTTTTTTTTTCTGTGACCATGGACTGTAATTCAGACAAGAGATACAAGGAGTTATTTTGGCCCCTGTTTGGGGGTAATTGACATAAGAAAGACGTGATTATCTAGTGCAGCATGCGATGAAGGCTGCGCTGCGTGTGGCTACACTGTGGCATGTGTGCAATCAATTTAAATGTACTGAAGGGCCGCACGGTATGGCCAGAAATCCATATCACGGTATTAAAAAAGATTCTGAGGTGTCCCGGTATATCACGGTATTGCTTTTTCAAGTAAACACATTAATTAATTGACCCCCGAAAAAGAACGAGCCGCCCGCTGACCAAATTGCCCACAACTGGCCGACGAGTTAGCTTGTTAGCGTGTTAGCTTGTTGTGGCTGTAAACAGCTGTTTGCGCTAGAAACTGGCCGGGGGAGTTAGCTTGTTAGCTCTTTAGCGTGTTAGCTTGTTGTGGCTTTAAGTGTTGCCACCAGAGACTCGGGAGACTTTGCAATACATCGTTTTCTGATGTAACTTATGTCAGATTTTCCAAAACCCTTCAAACAGACACAGCTCCTCTCTTGGGCACAAGTTGTGTTGGTGCATCTCGGGTCTCCCTCCTTTATGCTCTTTCCGTGTTGTCACGTAACCAGCAGAGTTAACGTTACCTGTTGTTGTGAGCTGTACCCAGCATGCAGTTCGGCGTTGTAATTTCTTATAAATGTACAATTATTAGACTTACATTGTTTGTTTATGTGTCACAAGCCGTTGTGTCGTGGTGTTTTACTCTGTTAAAGAGTGTTTGTTGTCGGTTATTCATTGTTGTTCTAAAGCTATAACCAGGACTCAATCTCAACACACATAACACAAGTAGCTCCGGCCGCTTAGCGCGTTGTTGTTACGTGTCTAAAAGAGTTTTGCCGCCCGCTTAGGAGCAACATCGCGTTACACCGGTATGAACGGAGCGTGAGGAATTCGTACCGTATGAAAACCATATACCGGTATACCGTCCAGCTCTAAATCCTTCATACATGTACATGGATACATACGGAGCACGCGGCACGTACTTCTGTTTGGTGGAGTTCTCATGACACTGTACCAGTGTCGCTGTGGATGATTTACATTTTCTTTCCTCTGTAATCTGGTTCCTCCTGAAGTGGCTAACACATTGAGAATGTCCCAATCGTACAATTTGAGTTCCTTCCTTGTTATTACTGTTGTTGCTGTTGTATAACGTTCCACATCTCTTTTTTTCTTTAAGTGATGGACGAAGATGACACGCTTGGTAAGTAGCGTTATTTAGGACACGCATGCTGACTGTCGTCTTTTGTTTCACTCATGTTCCCCTCTGGGTGAATTGTAATACGCTCTGTGATTTTCTGGCTTTAAATTCAAACTTTTTATTTGTGCTGTCAATAAATTAAGAGAAATTAACTAATTAATCATACATTTTGAAATTAACTAATCTCCATTAGTGGCTATTAGACTAAATCTTACAAGTAATGATTAATCACTTCAGAAAACGTGTATTTCAGACACTGTTGTATAATTGTTAATGTTATTTATTTAAACTACACCCATTTGAGCAGCTTGATCAATATTAAATAATATTAATAATGTGAATAATAATAGAACGCGTTTAGTTTGACAGCCATACTTTTTATCATTCAAAACATATAGATACTTAGCAGAACATTATTATTATTGGGTCAGTGTTTTCCATCTTTGCGTGTCACATTTTTATTTTTTTGGATAATTCCCTCATATGTCGTTCCTCTAAAATATATATATATATATATATACTAATAATATACTTCATCAGTATCAAATAGGAAAAGAACAATAGAAATTACTAAACCAAATTGATCACTCTCAGTACAATGAGCCAAAGGGATTTTTATATTTTCACTCTGATCTCTTCCTCAGATAACGATCGGCCCAAACAGCCCCCCAGAGACCCTTTGCTGCACCTGGTCTCCCTGCAGAAGGCGTCTGGCTGCTGGTGTCTGGATCCACATCTGGCTGCTGCACTGGGGAAGACCAGCGAGGAGGTGGAGAAGCCCAAGCCTGCATCGGTGGGTTGCTGTCAATGACAATAACATTGGTTAATAATGGGACTGTTCAATGTTGCCCTTGGTGCTGAATCCTCTGTTCTCTTTAACTTTGTTTTCCCCGTTGGGTTCTATTCCATTTTGCATTGTTTGTTTTGTTGTATTAGGTGAAGCAGGACGTGTGGGCCACCATTCTGGCTCTGATCTGGCTTCATGGTTTCAAGATGGATGCTCAAGAGGAGTGGGAGCTTCTGGCTATGAAGGCTGTGTCCTGGCTGCGAGCTCAGAAAGGTAAAAAGCACTAAATGAATGTGAGGATGCCAAAACTGAGTGACTTCTGGAATTGGTAGGAGGCAGCCAAGCAAGACTTTGTCCTGATATCATAAGGGTTTATATTTGTAAAAAAGAAGGTTCCTGGTTCACGTACCATTAAACAAATGTACAAAGAAGACAAATAAACCTAATCAGTTAACCTTAACAAGAGTATGGTAAGTACCCAAAACACAGACTAACATGGGGACAAAGGTGAGTTGTCACCCACTTTATCACAATGAAGTATTGATTTTCTGTTTTTAACAGGGACTCTTTATCCACAGTCTGCTGATGACGTGTTCTGTGTTTTCTTTTCTGCAGCATCATTGGTGACGGAGTGTGTGGAAGCAGGAAATGCTCTGTTGGGTTGCAACGTGCAGAAAGACGCCGTGGGGCTCTGAGGTGTTCATTGAAGGAGCTTCTCCTGCAGGATTGGTCCCCTCTGGTACATCAAAGCAGATTCACTCCATCGTGTACTTCAAATCAATTAATCCATTTTAGGTCAACTAGTGTGTAGAACAACTTTAAACTAAACTCAATTTTGAAAAACAATGTTCTTTGGTGGCTTTATTTCAGTCTTCACCGTTCTGATTCATTGTGCAGTACAAATTTTGTGACATCAAGTTAAGAAAGATATATCCTTAATAACTACTGGGTCTGAGGGGTGTTCATGCTTTAAAACAAACCTTTTACTTGAGTTGATATCTTGCTCTTGTCCAACACTAAGCGGTTATTTTATACAGTGAACAAATTGCAGGTGTGTGGCTGTGAGTTGTTTGGGTTGTTATGGCGCAGGTGTAGAGAGGGCGCGCTGGGAACCATGAGGTTGGTGGTTTGAGTCCCGGCTACCCCATGTCTCAGGTCGAAGTGTCCCTGAGCAAGACACCTATCCCCTAATAGCTCCCTGGTTAAAAATGTAAAATGCCATGGGTTACAAATGTAATGTAAGTCGCTTTGGATAAAAGCGTCAGCTAAATGACCTATAATGTAATAATGTAGTTCATACTTCATCCAAAGATAAAGGTTATTTAAAACAGTGCAGAGAATCAATGAATTTGCTGGTAATTATTTAGCTATTGTTTCAGGGCTACACTTAGTTCCCCAGATCCATTTTTATTTTAACCAATTCAACAGCAAGTTGCAGGCGAGAAGTTAGAAAAGGAAATTATTTTCTTCACAAAGTAAATACAATGCTATTCAAGTAGATTGTTTTTTTTAAACTAATGTTTTTATTGATTCTTTGACATAAAACAGTCAAATATAATACAGACAGGGCAGAAAAGCTAAATATATTATCAACACTATTTCGTCATGTAACCTTGAAGTTTCTGAATTTGTTTAGTGCACTGTTCTTCAATTCAATTTTTTATTAAGCGTATAATTGTATTATTTTATGATTAAATCCATGTGACCTATCTTATCGCGTTGACTGGGCTCTTATTTTGAAGTCGTTTCCTTCACGCTCTCTCGCGCGCGCTCCGCGGTGAACGTGCGCGTTCTCGTGGCTGTTGTTGCTGCTGCGCTCGACGGGCTCGACTGCAGTCGGCACTCCCTCGTCACTGCTTCCGCGCAGCCGGTGGAAGTGACTTTCAACTTTGTGGTTTGTCACTTGACATCGTTCTGCTTTAGAAACCTCGCAAGTTGTCTCCGGATATTTACAAGAGGAAACTTCTGAAACGTTGTCACGTGGAGATCCATCCTCAGGGGTAAGAGTTAGTCTGCTGTGTGTTTATTTAGATAAATAGTCTGCTGACTACAACACTGCGCAATCCGAATTGAGTCTGGATACTGTTTGTGTATCATTGGTTTTGGATTTCTAAAGAAACTTTACTGGAATACCGCGATGCTTTATAAAGACATTGAAAGAATAAAATACCTTAAATAAACACCGGATTGTTATCGTTGCACTCGGTCATTTCCCGGTGTTACACCCCTACTGG